CATTTTATACCAGATACGATTCCGTTTCGGTGTAAACGGAAGGCCAAAACGGTATAATTTCGTACCGTTTTCATTTCGTACCGGCATAGTGTAAACGGGGCCACTGATGCTCTTATTTTGCCGCTGAAGTCAACAATCGAAATTTCATTGAGAGCTAAAATGGAGCGAAGGCCGATAAAAACTTTGCTTGGACGGACGACGAGGTGGCGTTAATTTTCAGTGTTATTTTAGACTATAAAACTGCAAAGTCCAATCAAGGCTTGGACTGGGAAACAATACAAGCCTTTTCTGTCATCGTCTTCACTTCTGTTACATGCTTCGAATGAATGAATTGGTGCGGTTCTGATGCAGGAGCATGATGGCAAGCTTCATCCTGTGAGTTACGCAAGTAAAAAGCTGAGCAGTACTGAAAAGAACTACTCAACTGCCGAGAAAGAATGCCTAGCTATCGTTTGGGGTGTGAGAAATTTGAATTGTATCTGCAAGGAGTTCCATTCGTGTTACAGACTGATCACATTCCCTTAAATTATCTTGGTTCAGCTAAGTTTAATAATTCTCGTATAATGAGATGGGCATTGTTCCTTCAGAATTTTGACATGAGACTGAAACCCGTCAAAGGATCGGACAATGTGGGAGCAGACTACGTGAATAGATCCATTTGAAAATTGGACTTTCAAAGATTGATCTATTGAGTTACTAATAAGAAACTGTTTGAACTGCTGAATAAGTACATGAACCATTGTTAAAATTGTTGTTTGAAGAAATTATTACATATTTCGTTCTTAAATTGGGGGTTATGTTACATTATGTTTCATGTGCTTAAGGTGTTATCATTATGATTGCGTTTTTGGAGTAATCTTGTTGTGTAAAGCGGCTGATGTAGTATGGTTATCATTGTTTGTTCAGTGATGTTCAAGCGTTATAATTGTGCATTTGTTCTGTTCTGTAGTTGTATTGTGTGTGAATGTTCTGGAGTTGGGAGACGATGAATTGTAGTAAACATGGTAAAATGAGAGCGGAAAATTGTGTTCTAGACAGAGTATTTATTCTTTTGAGTCATCGTTTCATATGTTGTTAATGAGGTCTCCATAAATTTATGTAGCAGAAAACCTGTTTGTTACATCTTCAGAATTTCCTTTTCTTCAGAATTTGACAACATAGTTACGCCACAATCAAAGTCTCGATTACCTGAAACAGCAATACAAAAGACCTCTTTGTGAATCCGTGACAAAATCGCCTCGGATAGGTGTTTACACTGTCCGGTTCAAAAACGGAACTGTGACGGTACAAAATTCGTTCGCTTCCAAAACAGGGTCAAAAATGTTCCGGATAGCAGAGCAAAATCTTCTCGGTTCCACATTGCTAGTTTAAATGTCTTAGGAGCTGCTATAAAAAGTGCTCTTGAAGAATCTGGCTTGAGCCTTGAGAACCTCATTGGCGTGGGTGCTGATGGGTGGAATACGCTATAGTGTACCGAGTATTTTGGTGCCAGAGATTGAAATGTTCAAGTGTGCGTGTAATAGCTAAGAAGCAAAGGATCACAAGTCATGCCAGGTATGGTGAGGGAATCTCATAACTGGTTCTCACACAGCACAATAGTACTTATAGGGAACAGGGAGCTCCATAAAACAATTACCGATGAGATTGCAGAAAAACTTCTCCAGCTAAGTGCCATGAGATAGATAAGTCAATAAAAATGCACCAAATGAATTATGGACAAATGGAATTATGGATCACTTATGCTTTGTTTCAGAAGGGCGACTTCTGGCCAGGAAGAATGTTACACTGCCCGATAGCTTTCCACCATGCTTCAAGGCTTAAGGACACGTTTATTTGGCGTTTCTTGAAGGTAAATTGAAGGATTTCTCAAGAATAAACAAACTTTTTGGTACTGCCAATGCTTATGTTGTCCGTCCTGGTAGAGATCTGGTGGACCCCTATCAATCCCTACTACAGCAAGTTTGTATTCCTAGCAAGCTTTGAAAGGTCACACAGAAAGACCCTTTTACTTTAAGTTTTCAAGAAAGATTTGATGCCTGTTACCCTGGGTGCAAGAACATCGGAGAGTCAAAGGACAAATAAAGGGGAAGGAGAAAGGGAGAGTAAGCTGCGTTCACTTCGGGTACATGCAGTGCAGAGCGTTTGGAGATATGAGAGGAAGACATGAAGAGTATCAAAGATCTTTGGAATTCTTAGTTAAATCTATAGAAGAGGTTCAACCGAAGTTTCCTGGCAATATTCCAGGCTATGATAAGGGTTTCTCCAAAACAGATAGGTTGAGTGCAGGACTTAGCAGAACGCTTTAAAACATATCTCCAGACATTCATGGTGTAAAAAACTAGCTACGAGAATTAAAGTTTATAGAATAATAGATTTATAGAAATTAACTTTTGGAGCCATTTGAAACCAGTTAAAAATACAGCTGGCGAGTCTTAATCGATTAATAATCGGGTACAGCCTGCACTGGGTTTATGCTTATTATCTTACTCAAATGATGATTAAAACGCATTTTTTCCAAAATGAATCAAAATGAATCACCTTAAATGTAAATTCAGAAACAAGATGGCAATCTTATTCATAGATGCTTAAATTCGTTTGGATGGCCGTCTTCAATGGAGGTGAACATGCATTTTCAAAGTATCACATGATTAGGAAAAGACAGAAAGGGTTTTCATTGTCAATTCAGATGACGACTTCGTTCTTGATGATAAAGGTCTTCATTGGAAACTACTCAGCTTCATTCAGTTATGCTGGTTCATTTTAAATTTGATTGCAAACGAGGTAACATAGAAACAAAACAACATCTTTTCCCAACAAATATATTCATTAATCAGAAATTTTTACAAAGTCTAACAAAATGTTCGCATCATTCGAACTGTCTCTCACTTAAAACCAAGAGATTCCTCATTCCGGGGGGAGTAAAACAGTTCTTGTTGGTTTCTTTATTATACAGGGGGTCACCCAGAGGTTTTTACACAGTTCATGTTATAAAGGGCGTCACCCAGAGGTCTTTGCACAGTTTATGTTATAAAGGCGGTCACCAAGAGGTCTTTGCACAGTTTATGTTATAAAGGGGGTCACCTAGAGATTTTAATGATTTCAATCTTGCAACTCTGCAACAAGGTGGTAGAAGCTAGCTAATTGTGTTTGGGTACCAGTTGGTTAATACATTATTGACTTCAATCACTCACCTAGAATTGAGTTTGAGGGTTTCGAAGCTTATTCAAATTCGATCCTTTCACAGATTATTACTGATAGCCTCTGTGTCACTGGAAATAAAGCATTCTCTTTCCAGCTAATTCTATTAGGTGCTTGTGTCATATGAGATCCGCTTAAATGTTATTTCATTCGTTCTATTACTTCACATAGGTCAGAGAAATCCAAAACATCTCCAGTTTTTTTATTGCTCTCTGTCACTTGCAAGCTTGCCAGGAGAAATAACTTTACTTTTCAAACTACTTACTTGCGACCAGGCCCGTAGCCACTGGGGGGGGGCAGGGGGGCAATGTACTCCCAATGATTTGGGAAAGTTGTGTTTAAAGATCTTATAAGCGCAGCTTGATCTGACAGTATTTTGTAAGGCAGGTATAGTAAAAGCTGTAGTGTTCATACGTATGTAACAACATTTTCAACAATCTAAGTTAATTGCGATGAAGGAGCCAGTGATAGGATATTATTGATGTGTTCTATTTCATGAATTTGCCTATTCACGTAAAATCATATCGAATGTATACGTTTTGTTTCATATTTACTTGTAGTTAAGATGTTATGTTAAATGCCCCCATCGTAGACACATCCTTGTGCTCCTCGCGGTATCGTTTTCGTAGTAATTTTTTGGATGTACAGAACTTGAAAATGGCTTTGAAAAAAGTAAACATTTTACAACATATTAACTACAAGCTTTTTCGTCTGACACTCATAGAATAAAACGTCAGAATAAGGGTCCGAAAGAACACGATGAAAAATATATACCCAGTTGTGGATCGAATTAGGCCAATCAGAAAAAACTCAAGCACAAGACCGGTATAGTTGACCAATCAGTGCCGCATGCCTAAAGAAAAGTTACCACTGGTGTCTAAGAGAGAACTTTAATTACTTGATCTGACTTGCTTCAGCAAAAAGAAACGAAAAATTTTGCAAGGATTGATACAAGTAGTGGTTATGATATCGCACCACAACTGGATTCAAAGTTTTTCCTGGTCAAAAATTGATGACGTAATCAAGGCTTGATATAATCAGCTGGTCTTGTCTTGCATCTGAACATAATTACCTGAAATTTTCACAAAATGTTGGAAATAGCCACACGACCTTGAGTCTGATCTTCGTGTCCCACTGATTTTGAGCTAAGAGTGGGCAAAAATATTTCTTGAATCCTGGGGTAGAACTCTTAAACCAGCTAAGCCCTCAGTTGGTAAGATCAAATGATTGAACAATTTTTTATGCTCCCGAGGCGCTCTGTTTCTGTTCATTTTGTAATTGTTATTCACTACTTGTATTGAAATACGTTCTACTTCCTCTCTTTTGAAAGTTTTGAACTCTGAATCTATTACACTTCATGGTTGCCAATTCTAAACCGGGATATTTCTGCACTGTCACTCGGTATCATTTTTTTTAATTAAAGAATATGTTTCATATTTTGTATCTGTTATCACTAACCTTTCGCAGGTATTTTAGCACACTGAAAGCTTGTGTATGTTGAGGAATGTCCTGGATTTCCCTCTCCATATTACCACATCTCGTGATTCCTATGCCTGTAATAACTTGGAGCTGGAGACCAAATTAGAACCTGTATTTTAACGAAAAAGGCTATTTAGTATGGTTTATAAGATTGCCTGATTGGCCTATTTCGATCCGCAACTGGGTATTTATATCTCCTAGCGTAGATTTTTCGATCTATGTTCTGACGTTTTATACTCTGAAGAGTGTCAGACGAAATCTTTAGTATACTCAAATGTTCGTTTTTTTCAAAGCCATTTTTATGAATACCTTTTTTGATTCAGGTAGCATTGACAGAGTGGAAAAAATGCTGATTGCTGCAATGACTTATGATCGATCGTACAGGTAAGGTTTTTACTTTAAATTAAGGTTGTCGTAGTTGTAGCAGAAGTTAGATAAGAAGCATTATTTTTGTATTTGTTTCTATCTCGCATCCGAATGTAGTTTTTAGGACACTGAGAAGCTCATGCTTATCAAGCAGTGTCTTGGTCCTTCCTCTCGATGTGACCACACCTCGTGATTCCTATTCCTGGAATTACGGACAGCTGGCGACTCTTCTCAATCTGGGTGAAGGTTGGTCATGCCAGGGACTGGGGCATGAAGACTTGTTCAAAACGTTCGTTCAATCTCATAAACTAATCACAAAGTTACAAGCGGGCTTATTAGTATGTTGACGAATTATCGAATTTTCTGCACATTCGAAGAGACTAAATCTACATGAAAACATTCTTTCCTGTTGCGGAAAAGGGCAAATTATCATTATAGGCACAATCAAAGAAAGTTCCTTGACAAAGTGCTTGATTGTCTTGAAATGTTGGTGTAGAAAAATCGGTAAAATTAGCACCAAGTGGAATGAAACAGCCGAGATAGCTGCAAAACCTTTTCACTAAATGATAGTAAGGCAATCTAAAAAATCACTAAGTATTGAATAGTGCGAGCTTTTTTACAATAAGCCAGTTCAACTTAGATTAACGCATTGGAATTTGTATAATGCATTTGAAACACTAAACAAAATGAGAATTAACTGAAAGGTATGAAAGTGTTATGATTGATAAGTAGAAGCGTTCAGTGAACTACAGGATGGACGAGTTGCAGATATTATTGTTCGACAGAATTAGGCGGAAAGAAAAGAGACAAAGAACAAGTTTGAAAGTGCCGAAGTAAGATGGTTTATTTCATTTTCCAAAAGGGTTTTCATTCAAAGAATAACTAAAGTTTATTAAAGTGGAAACATGGAATAATCCAAATTGGTTTTAAGCAAGGGCACCTTGATATTGACAATAAGCAAATAGCCCAAGGCAAAGATCGCATGTTTTTGTCACAAGATGGATGTTAAAGTCTTGATGATAATTGGCAGGCAAAGATAGAAGGTTTAAACCATTTAGCCAAAGAAGAAGGAAGTACTGAGTTCGCAATCAAGGAGAAATTTTGCAGCTGTTTTTGAGTCGCATCAAGTAAGAAGATGGATGGAATTGTTCACGATGAAGCAGATTTTTGGTAGCATGGAGAAGCAAATAATATAATCAAACCAGTGTTCTGGATGTTTAAAGCCAACATATTTAAAACAGCTTTCATAAAGTAGAATATATGTAGAAGGAAAGAAGAGGAAATTTATAACAATGGGCTACAAGGAAAGTAACCGTGATTATGAGCAAGTATGATGAATAAGAATGATTAAAGAATCATTCACAGTGAATGAAGCTAAGAATGCAGTTGAAGGCAGTCTGTCCCTCATTGTTCTCAGAATCTCTTTTCATTGCCACGATATTCATGCATCGCTTTAATGTACAAATAACCAATCAGAATAAAGAACCACCATAACGTTATCTCCCTGAACGAGTTGCTGTGAATTTTATTTTGGTGTCAAACGTCTAAGTCAATTTCAATGAGATTAGGCATTTATTTGTTTTGTTCACCCACAAAAGCTAATGTCGGATGCTAAAATGACATAGAAAGACCCTTTTTTATGTGTGAGGCTTTCAAGCTAGAATTAGCCAATCACGGTGGGGACAGACTACCTTTAAGGAAGGAAGAGGGAAGACAGAGAAAGAAACAGAAGTAAAATTTAGATGATATCTACGAAGATGACGTTGCAAGGCCTGATGTAAATACAGCCCGTTTTTGGTCGCAAGGTTCTGATTTTTATAGGCGGCAATATTTACTGTAAGGTACATTCTGAAAGACAGGCTTTTATATTGCTGGAAAATCCCTAATGATGAGCAATTCATAATTGATAGTAAAGGGCTATGTTCTCCGCACTTACAATACCTCAGCACTATGGAAACTGGAATTTAGTGATCGACTGGCTGGAAATTGCAGTTTACAGAGATCCAAATACTGCGACATTATGTCTATCTACAAAGTTACCATGACAAAGCTTGCAAAACTGGTCTTTAGATGCCCTGTTGCTCCCTTTATCATCATGAATGGCACTGCTTTTTGAATGCCACGTGACCTGACCACGGTGATGTTTGCATCCTCACTGTGCAACAAGATTGTGTTCTGCAGCAGATGTATTCATGTAATGCCGTTGTTTTGAGTCTCATTATAAAGGATTAGCAGCTTCTTAAAAGAGGTTGTTTAGATTTGTTGAAATCTCGTTACCTTGGTCTCTCAAAAAGCCCAGTGTGCTTACGCATGTTCCACCGATGTTTACACAGTCGCCTTCAAACTCGAAGATTGCGAATTCAAATCAACCTTAATCCCAAATCTAGCCAGAATTTCTCAATATTCTAGTGTTAAATACTGCTGTTAGTTTAAAGATTAAAGAATTTACCTGCTTTGATGTAATCACATTTCGTACTTATGTTGTCGTCTTTGATGCAAATTGCATTTTTTGTAACACTTCTTTTAGTCTTTCCGATCCTTAACTTAGAATAAACCGTTTCTGTGTAGTTGTTCAAAAGATTAAAAAGACTCGTAAAGATAGCGTCGGGCAATATTTTGGCAAGCATTAAGAAGGCAAGATTGATCAAACAATTCATTTCATCGAATGGGCGAATATTGATCAGACGTTCTTACATTTTTGTCTTACACGCACTTTCCTTGTATCTTTTTGTAGTCTCTCCATCACAAATCATCGCTCGCAACATTTAACTGATTTTGCGCATCAGTTTTTAGATGCAGCAGGTTCAATTTAGCGCTAAAAATATTAGATTTTTTTTAATTGCAACAAAACCTGGAACACCCACTGAATAACGTGGTTTTATGGGTTTTTTTGAAACTGAAACAAGCGCACGAATCATTGCAATGAAGCCGAAATGCCGTTTTTACGTGCAATCGACGTTAAATTTGCAAATTAGTTTAACTCAGCTGCCTTTATTACTTGATACTCCCACTGTGCAGAGGGTTTTCTGGAGCGAATTTGAAGAATATAATAACTAGAGAAAGATAAGTTTTTTTGATGATGAGTTTTAGTATGATTAAGTATTGTAACTGATTTGCCTGAGAAGTATGAAACTATGCATTTCCTAATAAGAAAGTTTAAAAGCGCTTTAGTGCTTAACCTTTCGTATAGCTAGCTATTTGTCACCTGTTTTCCAGAATGTATCACGTGCAATTTCGAAATATCCATTGGTTGCGACATTGCGATTTCGCGTTTGTTTAATGATGCCATTTTTAGGATAGGCTATTTCAAGCATGCACTGAATGTTATCATTTGACAAAATTCAATACTGAAAGTCTTTCATTTATACAGTTTACACAGGATAAGAAAAGACCATCGTAGTACTAATTATTTATGAACCACTTTCTTAAAAAAACTTCTGTTAAATATTTCGGTTGTGGTACAACTTTTGCAACGTTGTCCACTGTGCTTATCATGTTGATAAAGCCAGGACGTATTACGTTTTGCAAAATAGTTTGATCAGCGTGGAGAAGGGTGGATTTATAAAGCCATGCAAATTCCCATGCCTGACCATAGAAACGAGCATAAATAAGATAGAAGAAAAGGCTGGAGATCAGCTGCAACGGATTCTCATCTTGCTGTCTGCATTGCGGCTGAAATTCGATGAAGATTTGACAGGCAGTGACTGAATAAGACGTGTTTTGTACAAATCAATCAGCATTCATTATGGTTAGTATAACTTCATTATAAACAATGTGTTTTTATATACCTCAAATATTATTGCATTTCTGTATTACACTATGCAAAATCACTTTTTTTGCAAATTATATTTATTTCTTATTTGTTTATTTTCCAATAAATTAGATGCTGCAACCGAGTGGGTTTAAATCAGCATTACTGCACTGGTTGAAAAACAAGAAAGATATAAATTCATGTATGTGAGTGAAATGTTTTTTTTTCAAGTTTATGACTTTTTAAATATATATATAATAAGGAAATGTTATCAACTTTTTTGGCTAAATCAAGTTTCATTTGGAACGAATGTTTTATCAAAGTAAAAATGCTAAATAGCCTTTTTAATTTTTTATTTGTTTTTTATTTTTAATTTTTAATTGTGTTGGTTGTTTTTTGAGTATCAAGCCAGGGAGAGATTTTAGATATTTCTTAGAACTATCTCTAACATATATTTGGGTTCTGTCACGATAAAGCAGTTACCTCTCTAAATGACCTATCAAATTTCCAGTTCTGAATACCAAACTAGTATCGTCTACAATTTATCGATTTCCACCTGTAAAATAAATGTTTTTTTTTCTTAAACTAAACCGAAACTTTATTGTCTTCGCTTCATCGACGGCTGATGCATCCGATAATGTGGATGGATGTCCGTACTGGCACTTTCTTCAAGTTGCACTTTATTAGTCTTATTCAAAGTCAGCTTGAATTGTGATATAATTATGATAAGGGGAAACTTTTCCCATCCTTGAAAACACATGTTGACATCTGGGTGCAAATTAAACTGTGAATGGTAAAGTATTGATTATTCTCGATTGCATTCCAAAGTTTTTTGTTTGGAAGGCCTTTGTGCATTTTGATTTGCAAATTAATCTTTGTCATCATAAGCATTCGAGGATCGGTTTTTATCTGCTAGCTTTTGACGTCGGCGGTAGAGGGTGTGGTTGCAGTATTATAGGAAGTGTCTTTCTGAGAACAAAGAATTGAATTCATCTAATTAGGTTTTAGAAAATTAGACCTAGGGCATTCTGTGCTCTCCAAAACTTTCCGGCTGTATTTAGGATTTTGGTATCATCTTTTTAGTCAATTAGTAATTAAATCGGCCCATCTTTAAAATCAAGTTTTGTTGTTAACAAGATCGGTTTTTCAAGTGGAGTTGACCATCGTGAATGGAACTGGGTAATGTTCGCCTTCGTAATACTTTTTACTTACTGGTGAAAATATGTTTATAAAGTCACAAGAGGTGAGTTGTGCGATTCAATACAACATTTCTTTTACTGCCAGAATAAATCATTTCCGTACCAACTGGTTTATTAAGCAGTGGACAGAGCCTTATAGATAACAAGAGCACTCGGTGGTTTTTGTATTCAATCACTTATTCAAGGTTGTTTTTATGGTTTCTTTGATATTTATCAGTATGAAAATACCCCCCCCCCCCCTTGTTGATATCTAGGTCAACACACTCTTAACACGCACGTTTCAGTTTCGAGTTTAACATAGAACAGGGGAGTCGAACGCAATAGAAACAAGGACCAAAAGTATAGCATGTTCTTAATCTTGGACCAAACCGATAGAACTTTTATTGACAAACCAACTATGATCTAAACAAATTTTTATTTTGATAACCATACTTGCCTTTTTGATAAAAATTGTTTCGTTAAATAAAACTTTTTTTGCTTTTGTATCTTGGCTGGCAAATAACGTGAAGCAGGATTGCTCAGATTGAATCTCTTATCTTCTTGTTTAGATTTATTTTTATTTATTTTTTATCTGGTTCCAAGACAGCAAAGATAACTCTGAAGCATAGATTACTCTTATCTTTCTTCGGAAATGCAGAACAGAGTGCAAATTCTTCTGCAAAGTTTTTCCTTTTTGCTCCATCACTATAATGACATTTATTCCTCTTTTCTTTTGTACCTTTATAGACAGCCAGGATACTATAAAAAACGATATCTTTGCTAAAAGTCATTGAGAAAGTTTCTATTTTTTGCTAGTGGATATAAATGAGTCACGTTCTGTTCAGTTAGATGCTTGTTCTGGGTCCTGTGAATGGAGTTACCAGCAAATCAGTTCATATAATGAAAGTATAGTCTCGCAAATTAGACGTTCGGGAAAATACTTTTTTCAGAATCGTAAAATCTTCAGTATTTTTCATTAGTAAATCAAAAATTAGTTTATTTAAATTTATTCATCGCTACACGAGAGGCTCTCCCACAATGTCAATTTGCGTGAAATTCAATAGTCGTGAGAATATTTCATGACTTTACTTAGTCGCGTGAAAAGTTTCCGAATAGGAACATTTTCCTGTAAAGTAGTCTCCGTGGAACATTAATGTTGAACAACCGTCGTTGCTCTGATTTACTGTTAGATTTTGTGTACGCAATGCTCTATAATGTTTTTCTATGTAGCATAAAGGATAAGAAATCCAGCAGTGTTGTGCGATAATCACTATTACATATTCACTCCTTTGCTCTGGGAGAGGGGGCAGTTACCCTCACACCGCCCATGATTTTCACCCCTGTTGTTCACCTGTACTGAAGCGCTGGCTCTTTCATTCCATTATTTTTATCCGTCGCCTCGTATGTCTACTTTTTTTGCCAATATAAGAGGCAAATATTTGCCAATAAGCCGTGGAAAATGCCCATCTGTCTCTGTACGACACTTCGTATCGCCATTCATTATTTTCTCAATAACTTGCTAATAGGAGTAGAAATCCGCAAGTTGTATTTATTATATGATTATCATACGCGACATAAACTAACTTAATGAAATCAGTTTGCGATGAAATCTGAAGAGAAGAGCTTGTTGGCTTTTGCTAGCGAAGGACTAAACTGTGCCGCATTCTTTCACCATTTAACTTGTTGAAACTTCAGGAGTCTGAAGTTTTTACTTGAACCTTGACTGACTTTCCCGATTCTTCAAGGATATCATTCTTTGAAAACATTGTTGAATCTATGCAACTGCAGGTCCTTTGTCATACACGTTCTTTGAGATCATGCAGGTTCTGCTCTGTAAAAAACATTAGCTTTTATTCAGGATAATGATTTATGGTAACGAAAGGAATAATTTGGAGGATGGTAAGGGGATACAACATACTGTCTGTAAGGGAAAGATGTTGATGTGAAAAACGGGAGAGGCAGGAGTGCCCCTCATGCAGAATATTTGATTTACACAAGGAAGATACAATTTTTGCTTACGACCTGCATAAATGCTAAGTCTGTGATCGTTAAATGGAATGCCTATATCTTTGATGATAAGAAATCTTAACACGCAATAGTAAGTTTTATTATTTCGCAAGGCAATTGATTCAAGCACTCTGTTAGATAATTTCTTATGTAAAACTATTCCAACCACTCTACAGGTGAATTCCACATTGAAGAGCCTATGAATAACGAAGCTACAGGCTGCAATTTTTAGTACGCATCTGGTGCCAAAGAAAATATTTTTGCCTGACGAATCATAAGGTTTTGTTATAAAGGGCATTATCCCTAAGCAGTCTTTTGTCATGAAGAGATATCCCTTTTGCTATGCTTCACCGATCAAGTAATCATCAACATAAATCTTGATAGGATAAGAGTATAATGTCAGAACTTTTGACTCTGAAACATCTGTTTGTACCTTTGGAATAAGTCTAAGAACATTCCAACCCTTGAGAAAGCGGGATCTTCTTGCGATGAGTTGTTGTTTGCTTCTATGCATGATGGTTAAAAAGTCTTTTAAACCTATGGAGACGGGGGATGTCTTGATGATTGGAAATTGCTACATGCTGTTGACGCAAGTTCAGTACTACAGAAACAGTAGAAGAAAAACAACGACTTGTTGCTTAGGGTCAAATTCTAATTCCAGTTGAGAACTGTATAACTTCTATCCGTTTATGTGTCTGCCTGATCGAATCTAACCTCTATGGCGTATGACAACGTGTATTCTAAGCGACAATTACAACAACAAAGGTCGAGGCGTACGTCACAATACACACTTTCTTACAGATGTTTTGTTTGTTTGTCCACTTCTATTCTTGAGTCGTGACTACGGATCATCAGATAAGGATTTCAGTTTCTTAAAGTGGAGACTTTTCTGAAGGCTGTGGTGATTATAAAATGGAGGCGTGCTCCCTGCTTTTTCTAACATGATGATCTTCTTAAATACCTTGTTTTGATCCATGGGATTTTCTTTGCTTTCCCCGGGAATAAATCCAAGCTTTCAGTTTTGGTGTGATCTTAATTGCTATAATTGTCTTATTTTTATCACTGATATTAAGCTCGTAGACATTGAAGATTTCTATGGATTATTGCTTTTTGTAGCCTTTGTTTGGAGGAGAGCTGGGGCCGTATCAAAGCCAGAGCTGCCTAGAAATGGCCAGGGGAAAAAACTAGGATACTTGGTTGCATTTGAAAGTTTCGTAGATGTTTCCTTGATGCGCAGGTTTGAAGGTTTTTTTTCAATTAAAACAAATAGCATAAAACAAAATACAACTACGGTGCCACTCACTGCAGGAAAGGGCAAACACTTACAAATTTAAGTGAAAACGTAAGGGAAATTGAAATAGTAGAGAAAACGCTGCAAAAGTCGGTTGCTAAATAAGGAAGAATAGAAGGCGGCTTGGTAGAAAGCCCAGCGGACGCCCATGTTTGAAGTTTCTCTTTATTTTACATGTTGCTCGTTGTGTTTCTACAGCTTTAACTGTTTAATCTTATAATAGTAGTGAATAATAGTGAAATTCCTTTTGTTGATAGAGTTTTTTTGCTTCGACTTTTGAGCTATGGATAGGTGACTGATATAACTCTGATTAATATAATTGGACCTGAAAACCAGGATGCTCTAGTTCTTATTTTCTGTCAAAAAGCGTTTCTGAAAAATAGGGGGAAAATAGGGAGAGAACCTCATAAATTGGCGGTTGCACATCCAAGAGGGCATCTTGGAGCGTCTTAAAAATTCTGATATCTTAATTTGTAAAAGTATCATTGATTGCATCACAGGTTTTCGGGTCAAATGCTTTTTCTATAAGAACACTTGGCTCCAGTTTCAGCCTGGTTTTTCTTATCATTACACATAATCTCGGCCTCTCGTGTTTCATATTTTATTTCTTATTTTTGCAGTGGAATTTCCTGTGCATAGTAGTTCCCGGAAATAAACTGTGTTGGAAAAAGTAATTAATGCTATTTTGCTTATCGCTTTCTATTTTTTTGCTATACTTTTCAATTTTTGCTGGTATTTTATTTCATGAGTTTTGTTGATCTTCAGCCTGCCTTGTTTCTTATGTTGTTCTTATCTTTTGGGCAAATCTCAACCTGATGTTTCCTATAAGTGTTGCTCTTATAAAAAGGCCTGTACCACAGGACAATGATATGATAGTAGACTGTACAGTAATACAACAAAATCATTTCGTAAATACAATCGCAAGTCTCTCAAATATACGTATATATAATTTTTTTTCATGTTATAGTTTTAGGTTCTCGATTGTCTCGCATTGATTGTAGTTTTGGGGGGAAATGACCTAGCTCGATGTCCCCCCTTTGTCTTCTTTGATTGAGTACCCCACTGGGGTTGAAATGCTGACGACTGTGAAGAAGGTTGTTGGCAAGAAAGTAGTTCAAAAATGGACCCAAGTTTTTATATTTGGAAAGTTTTGAAAGTTTAATCACATTTGTCGGATGAAGGGTTTAAAATTTTCTAGAGATTTAAAAGGAAGGCCCTAAATATGTTTTCTGCGAGTATTGTTCACGATTAAGCTTTGTGTCGGGCAATTTTGTGCATTTCGATGGTCAAATCAAACTAGCTAATACAAAGGTGAAATCAATAAAATGCCCTTTCGTTCTTGTAGTTGCAATTATTGCATGCCAAATTCTCAAGCTTCATTAATAGGCATTCATAGATATAATCTTGAGTAATCTTAGGAAGTTTCTATAAATCCTTGTGAGTTCAAGCTACCGCCTCAACGCTGTTATGATTGATCGTTTGTTGTTTCTCTACTATAATGCATAGTACGAGACAATGCATGGAACGAAGATGCCTCTAACTTTTTAATATGGCAATTTACAATTAAGCTTACTCTACTCAGTTAAACTGACAAAATCTACAATTTTCATCAACTGCCGAAAAAATGATTAATTGTTGCATTCTTTTAATTTAATGTCGTCTCTGTGGAGGTATTTTGTTTTCGTTTGGGCTTTTGACTTTTCATTAAAAAGCTAATAAATGAATGTCTTTGATTGAGACTGACATCTGCTCAGACCCTTGACTGAAGCCTTCAGATTTGCAAAAGATGCATCAAGGAATTATGAAGAAATTCTATATTGGCATAAAGCCTGGTTTATTTTATATCCAAAGAAATCTGTCCTCTTGGCATATTAGAAGGCTGGGATAATCATTTTAAGCAGTAAAGATGAACATATCAGCAAAATGCAGATATTTGTTTCATCATATTGCTATCTGGCTAAAATTTATCCTTGTGATGAAACAACTTGATAATGGAAGGTACAACATAAGGTTTTGTAATTCAAGTCCATTTTTTATCATAATAAATCTGTCCTCTTGGTATATTACATAGATGGGATAATCATTTTAAGAAGTAAGGATGAACAATTCAGCAAAATGCAGACATTTGCTTCCTCGTATTGCTATCTGGCTTAAATATGTCCTAATGATAAACAACTTGATAATGGAGGGTTTTGCATCATGTTTTGTAATTCAAATCCATTCTTTATCGTCATGAACCTGGACCCTCGGTATATTAGAGAGATGGGATAATCATTGTAAGCAGTAAGGATGAACAATTCAGCAAAATGCAGACATTTGCTTCCTCGTATTGCTATCTGGCTTAAATATGTCCTAATGATAAACAACTTGATAATAGAGGGTTTTGCATCATGTTTTGTAATTAAAATCCATTCTTTATCGTCATGAACCTGGACCCTCGGTATATTAGAGAGATGGGATAATCATTGTAAGCAGTAAGGATGAACAATTCGGCAAAATGCAGACATTTGCTTCCTCGTATTGCTATCTAGCTAAAATATATCCTAATGATAAAATACGAGACTTTATAATGGACGGTTTAACATAAGGTTTTGTAATTCAATTATAAATCATTTGATAGTCAATTTTGTAAATTTCCTAAAAATTGCTTTTTAACAACTTTTTTCTACGTTTCTTAGATGTCCTTGTCCTTTGTAATTTCAGTCTAGCCGATTTTCAGTAACTTTCGTGGTTTCAATAAAAGCATTTTGTCAGTTATTTTCTTTTTTCAATTTTAATGCTAGCCAGTTCTCTTTCAATTTCAGACGTAATAAATTCTCACTTTCTCAGCATTGCCTAAACCTGTTTTTATTCTTACGAGTTACATCTACCATTGTGATTTTCAGCCATTTAAGTTGCGGATTCTTGGACTTCTATTCGAGGATTTCTATCAGAACAGTTCTAGAGTTGTTTTTGAAATTGCATCTATTTGGTCTTCGAGCTATCTTTTAACTTCAATCACCCCTGCCTTCCATTTTGAATTCTTTTCTTAGTTTTATCATAGCATATAAATTAAAAAATATAACTGGAAGAATTTATTTCTATTTCCAGACATGGATTTTTTGAATTATTTTAATTTTGTTTTTTTGATATTCTGTGGAGATTATAAAGTAAGTTTGCTTCTTAAAAATCTATCACTAATCCACCGTTCACTATTGGGTTTGAAAAATCATGTTATTTAATTTAAGACAAAATGAAGTAAGCTTTTGAATAAGCTCAAAGAAGACTTCCTCCCATACGACAGAATTCTTCATACGTTTTCATATGCAAACGAAAAATTCTCATTCGTTTCCTTTTCAAACCACGCCAGTTCGGTCGCCATTTCACAGATCTTAGCAACAGCATTTGCATTCTAAAATCACCTTTTAAGTCTGTGTTATCTAATTTACTTTCAAAATAACTTCTTTCGCTGGTTATTAAATTTATTCTTGTATTGCCTTCGCTGCCTCTGTGTTTTAACTTGTTTGCTTTGCAATTGTGCAATTTTTTCCCGAACCATTCTTCTTAAATTCGCTTATTTTCTTCTTTGTTGGCTACCATCTTTTTTTGTTAATAAGAATCTTTCCGCTGTGGTAGCGTAGCTGTGTTATCGTCCATTCTACTTAGCTTCATCTCTAAGAGAATTTTTTCTGCTAAGGTTTTGTTTCTTCGTTCGTTGACAAAGAGGCTTCCTTCGATCTGCATATTCATTTGATCAAGAGGTTGTCTTACATTCTGTAAATAATGCTTGATCTTGAGAAACATATTCAATTAAAGCAATAACATCTGAAATAGTAGAATTTGAACTAGGGTGTTACCAACACTTTAGCGCTCTCTTCACCTGCCCTGCGGTCAAAACGATGTAGTTTTCTAGGACTCTAAACAAACAGGATCATTATTGTAACCAATGTGGTGCACAGGGGTCTCCCTAATCTTTTCTTATGCTCGCTGAAAATTCGAATTCCAGTCGCTAATTCAAACCTTAACTCCCCAATCTTAAGTCTTCCTTTCTCTAGGTATTTGCGCAAACAAGCACCAAATCTGCTTAATCTTTGAATGATAAATAATTGAGAAGGCATAATAATCCAAGCCAAGCTCCGATATTCTTACACGTGCGATCAGAGTGATTGCGCGTTTTTCACGAGCAGTGGGCTTCTATATGAGCGTCGAATTTGAAACTTAAAGATACTTAAAGAAGGATACTTAAAGATTTGGGTGACACGATCGAGGGACAAACAAATAGAGTGAATGCCGCGGGTTCACAGCAAACGTGAGCAGCTTAGACAGAACTTCTGCATTTACTACTACTAAAAGGCTTGTTATCACAATTGGCTTCGTTTACGTTCAGATTTTTCCTCAAAAAGAGGTATGTTTTATTTTGCTGCCTTGAACAAGAATCGTTATTCCTGTAAAGTTTACTACTCTCATAACTACCAGCTTGGTCCCATACCAAAATAAGGGATATTGTTATCCAAACTAGTATGATAAATCTTTACGTTAGATTTCACTTTTATAAAAGCGGTATATGCAGGGAAAGATTTGATTGTAACATTTTCGTAGCTGATGTCTGAGTTGCATTTGATGAGATATTTCGCACGTGTTACAATATTATTTCAGCTTATATTTACATTAGCTTCGTAGAATGGTAATATCAAGCCATCATTTGAAGGTAGTATAAAATCAAGAGATTTTTTCTGAAGTTACATATTCACCCAAATCCAACGTTAATGCTATTATAGACTTTTCTGTTTTCAAGATTTGGATTGCATATCAAATCTTTTTTTTCAAAGATTCTTATTTTGAAAACTTTTTTCAAAAATGGACGATTTTTCTCAAACTATGCTCACGACCTTGCTGATCGCTGGTCAAGACTTTAATTCTAAATTTGAAATTGATATGAAGTGAAATATTTATCCCCTCAGTGCTGGACGATTTTGCAGGCAGCCTTTCTCCATATCCCAGTTTTCAGGGAAAATAAAGTAGGCAAACTTCTTTTTTTACGTCTGGAGCAGCTTGCTGAGATATCAGTGTGATTTTATCCTTTTGTAATATATATAATGACTTTACAAATTAAGGGTCGGCAAATACCGACAAAGAAGTTGCAAATTCATGTGCTTTTCATATCGCGAGTTGAAACCATCCATATAACTTTTCATATCGCAAATGCTTAGTATTTAAAATAATTCGAATTTCTTCGGCTCTTTGCCTACTTAGCCTACGTTTTATGCAAGCAAACCTCAGAACTGTTACTAGTGTAAGACTGTCTGTCGTCTTTAACATCTCTTTGTCGATGATGTAGGCGATATGTAGACAATTATTTTTATACTAAATTTTCATTTATCTACAAGGCCGAATGTTGGAGTCTTAGATTTACAATCTTTGCCAAACATCCTTGGAACACCTTTTATTTTAAAGGGTCTGTTTCCATTAGTAATTATTTCCGTTCTTCCATCTTTTGGGCTGATGGCTGAGTTCCGACCTTCCTATAAAAGCGTTGTGATTTCCATCTTGTGGTTTGTATGAGAAAAGATTTATCCGAATCAAGTGAAAACCTGCTGACAGTTTGTCGAATCTCACGTCTTGGGATGAAATAACGCCAGTAAATTGACTGGAAAGTGAGATAGAAATTCTCATATTTGCGCATGCGTTCGCATTCCACAATGAATAGAACAAATGAATGACGAATTGTGGAATGAACAGAGAAAGAAGGAATATGCTTGAAGGTGTGACTGAATTTGCATGTAAACATGCCGTGATTTTGTGTCCCAGCTGCCAGAAAGGTAGGGCTGAAAGGTAGTATGATTTTGCTCATTTAAACAGGCCCCGAGTGTTGCTTTGAGGAAGTTTACAGTTTCCTGTGTTTAAGACTCGTGAAGGCTTTTAGGTTGCTTGTAGAAGTGGATCAGGTAACTATATGATCAGAGCAAATTTACAACAAACAACTATAACCAACAAATAAAGCTGAGAATCGGCAAAATGAGACAATACCTTTATAATGACTCATTAAAAATGTAGTCTAACAGACCCAGCTATAGGATTTCCCATTGCAAGAAATTTTGCTTATTCTATCTCCTTTATAACATGGCCTCTAAATTTATTTACCACAATGACTTATAACGCTCTTTTTGGCAAGCGTTAGTTGCTGTTGGACGAGTACATTGGCTCCGATGCAGGTTGGAAAGTTGGGGGGGGGGGCAGATTTCAACTTTTGCTATTTTTAGCAGCATTTTATGCAAGAGCCTCCTCTTTTTATTTTGATTGCACCACACTACTAACGAAAAGTTACTACAATCGATTCAACTTATAGTCACTCTGCTTAAAGTCACACTACAGTTTACAGTCACGTAAGATTTCAACTCATTTCTGCAAAGCTATTACCTTAGGCTCCGTCTGCAGTCGCTTACTTCGCTTACTGCTACAGCTTTCAAGCAAAAATTAAGCGTTACTATAACTTGAGTCTACAGACAATGCTGAAATCTACTTGTTTGCAATGGTCTTTCCCAGTGTTGGTTATAATGCGTTGAGAAGTATACTTTAACTTTAAACCTGTCCAGGCTTGTTTTGTAAAAGATTCTCAAACGTTTCATGTCACATGTTAGTGTTCATATCAAGGGTATTATACATCAGAGCTGTTAGTAAAACGGGCCATATAAACCTGCATCCACGTGCGTTTGCAATGGTGAGATACTGTGGACACTGTGAGACAAACAGACTGTCCAGAATAAATTTTTCTCATCGTTTCAAGTAGAATATTCATCGACAAATTAAAACCTTAGTTGCTAGAAGGCCACGCTTTACTACCTCTTTCTTGTTTTCGCTGGTCTAGCAAAAACCAATAGGTCTTTCTCCAGGGAAGTGGAGCCGGGGAGTTTGGGGGCAGGGGGATAAGCCCTTTTTTGTCGCCCTTTTGAATTCTTGTTTTGGCTTCGGGGGGTCTTGTTATTTTCTTAATACCTCACACCTGCTTTTTTTATCGTTTTTGCAAATATTTAATCCCACGCTAAACCGGTTTGTTCTTTGAAAAGGGAAAAATGCGAGCAATACGTGCACATTTAGTCGGCGCAGTACATAGGTTTTTATATGTTGAATTTACCTTGCCTCTGTGAACAAACAGCCATGAAATATTATTAAAGACACCTGTAAGGCCTATGACTACTGGATGATAAAGGAAGCTGATATCATTGGCGTATTAGATAGCAACTAAAGAAGTAATGTTGCAAAATCAGGGCTATTGACGAAGGGGGCTGGGGTGTCATACCCCCCCCCCTCACTTTTTTGCAAAAAAATGAGCTTTATTCAAAATCTATTGTTATGATTGTTAAATATGCATCGGAGCCCATGAAAATGTTATTTGTATGTGAAATGTTTTATTAGAGTAGTGGTTACTTTTGTAAATAGAAAAAGAACAAGTCACGGAGGCAGTTTTGCAACTTTTTACTGCAACTCTGTGTTAATTATTAACCTAAAACATTGGTAGTCACCATAAAATGCATTAAAAAGTGTGAAATCCGTCAGATATGTTGAATTAGATGAAATATGTCAAATTAAGATTTGCTATTGTGATGTTGTTGGTTTGGTTCAAAAGTTTATAGCCGAGACAAGCGTGATTTTTTGGGGAATAACCTGTGCTCATGTGGTAGTATGTCAGCCAATTTGTAATGTAATCAATATGACGTAATATATTTGATGATGACTTGACTATTGAAACACCAAGGACAAAATTAGTGACCACTGGAGATCGTGCATTTACAGGTGCCTCTCCTCTTCTTTGGAACAGACTGCCATACACGTTGCGAGCAGTGGATTCTTTTGACACTTTTAAGAGTAGACTGAAAACGTATTTTTTCTAGACCATTTTAATTAGATTTTATTTATTTTACAAACAATTTTTAGCATACTTTGTAATACTGTATATTATATCACTCTGTTAGTTTTATGAACATTATTTAATGCGCCTTTGAGCCTCGTAGATATATGACGCAACCGAAATGCCTTTTATTATTACATATATAGTTATTATGATATATTAAGTAGTTATGTACATAAAGTTGTATTATAGAGTGCTCTTTCAGATCTGTTTAATTTAAAAAATTCTTAAAATATCTTTTCATAACGTCATAACAACAACTTTAGGACTCTCTAGCTTCGTGATGTGGCTGTTGTTCTTTTCCTCTTTAGTTTTAGCGCTCATTGCTAGTGACGATGTTTGAAAACACTGTCAAAAGGCTTGCATTGCAATTTTAGTATCAAGATTTAAAATTTCAGTATATAACTCAAGAATAGCATAATTAAAAGGAAAATGTCCATCAAAACTGACCAATCGGCTAACAGTTTTCGATACAGGCCAGTCAGAGTCACTTCCATATTCCGTAAAAGCCGTCAAAGCCCACGAATGCCATGCAAGTGGGTTTACCATAATGTGTCTGTTTGGGAGACTAGATTCCTATCGTTTAGGGTTATCATTCTAACCATTTGCCTGAATCAGTGAGAAAATTCATCTTATGTACATGCGCAAAATGGCATCATGAGCTTTAAATTTCTCTGCTGTGCTTTGCTCCGTTAACTTTTTGTCGGTTAATTTGCTGACAACGATTCGATTAAAGTACTGCTGCATCATGGTCGATGTTTCTTTTCATGGCTGCAATTTTTTGAACATTATTTATCCTTCGCTAATTTCTTCATATACCAAAGCGATGCGCTACAACGATTAAGTCCTTGGTAACCAAAACAAAAACCTCTCTGATTTCGTAGTTTTGTGCTTTTCGCTCATTATGATAGCGACAAGATTATCTTGTCCATGCTGTTCCCGCGAATTCATTTTAAAGTCTGGTTTTGCGGTTGATTTTGCTTCTTTTTAAAGTACAACTGTTATTCTTTGTCTAATTCCTGTTTCGTTGCAAAGCAATTGGCATTTGAGTTTTGCTGTCGTGCCTCTTTCCCTATGATGTTATGAGCTGCTATAAAACTCTACAGGGCCGGAGCTACTATCTATTTTTATCCGTATACGTATTTCACGGACAAGTTATTACCTGTACGTATACATTTTCTTGATACCGAACAAGTATTTGTTCGCTTCGCCCTTTCTTTTACACGTGACATGTGAACGTGACATGTGCACTGACTAGCAAATCAAATGTTGGCGCCAGATTCGTTCTTGTGTGCTTTGCCGGCCAGGTCTGTGTCTAAAGTAGCGGGTATAAATCGAATCGATGAAGTTATCAGATAAAAACAACAACAAATTGCAACGAAGGGCCAATGGAAAGACAACAAGATGACAGATTAAAATGTTTCTTCCCATTCTTCTGCTAGAACAACGTCCCTTACGAAATTCCTCTTACACTCTTAAGCCGAAAACCCACTCCGGAA